TGGAGAGTGTCGGTTCTGGAAAACACTTAATTTCCCTCACACACCATTCTTTCTCCCCTTTAAACTTCATCTTTCATCTTAAACTTTTCTATCAAGTAGAAATTCTCCCAGATAATTAGAAATGTCTGTGTAAAGTGCTTACCCACATTCATGTGGGTAAAAGATCATAGTTGTACAGTTATAAATGTCTGTTGGTGCAGCAACGGAGAAATCATGGCCGTATGATTTTTCCTGATTGATTGCTTTGTTGTTATTTTCATAATTTGCCAAATTAATGTAAATGTTTGATGTTAAATTTGATTCTGTAAATAAATGACCGCATTCATTTTGATGGGTCAAATTTAAATGACGTCTCACTTTGCATTTCCTTAAATTCAGTGCACGTTTTATTCAGTCCAGAAAAATGAGGAACTCGCGTTAAATGATGAATATATCCCAGCATCTGTTCATCTACACTTTTTCAGAGCCTCTTTTTTTGCATACTTTCCGAATTGTTAACAATGGATTTGGTCAGCCGATCTCTCAAAGAAATTGATCAATTTTTTCAGGGTGAAGGAGGACCCTCTTACCTCGACAGAAATATAACTGGATCTATGATAACTGGACGTTACTGTTTGGAGTTGGTGGAAATCTGAATTGTCGACAAATTATGTGGAGAATGGGCTGAGTTTGGCAGCACTCAGACTATGTACGACATGTTGTACTGTATCAAAGCTGAGCAGGCTGACCCTTACCAGAACTGTGGAACTTTCTGGTGGTGTCCACGAACGATTGGAAGGAATAAATCTTGGAGAAGCTGTAAGTGCGACTTGGTGTAAGTCATCAAATTTGGCAGTTTGGAGTCACCGTGAGAGAATGTGCTAGCGAGACTGTTAAGGCAGAAACAGAAATTTACGAGTTCAGCATGACCCAAAACAATTTTGATATCTGAATCTGGACCTGGCCTTGGAAGACGGACTAGTTTCTCCTTGGATGTTATGGAAACAAAGATATATGTCACCCCCACCCCCACCCCTCCAACCCCCCACCATCATAAAAAAGCATAAAATTTGATAAATGAATGTAAGAAAATTGTATTAACAATAGTTACATTATAAAGTGAAGTAAAATACTAAAAACAGGGAAATGTCTGCATTGGTTTTTGCCATGAACTTGGCAAATGTTTGAAGCCACTTAGAGAGGTCAATGTCGAGAGCTTTAGATCTTTTTGCAAGATATTCCAGGAAACAGGAGCGGAGTAGGAGAAGGCTTTTTTGCCAAGTTCAGTCCTCACTGAGGGAACACTGCATGTAATAATGTCCTGAGAGCGCATGCTGTAGCTACACTCACGTGATGACATGTACGAGGAGATGTATGAAGGAGGCAACAGACCAAGAAGTGATTTAAAGATGAAAATGTACCAGTGAGAGAGTCTATGTGAAGTTAATGATGACCAGTTAACCAGTGAATACAGGGTGCAGTGATGGGTACGGTTGCAGCCAGTTATGAATCTAAGTACACTGTGATAGACAGTGCCCAACATTTGCAAGATGCTTATAGGGGCGTTCATGTAAATAATGTCACCATAGTCACCATGCCTTCATACTGTACATCTCCTCCTATATGTCACTGCATGAGTGCAGCTACAGCGTGCACTCTCAGGACATTATTACATGCAGTGTTCCCTCAGTGAGGACTGAACTAGGCAAGAGGGCCTTCTCCTACTCTGCTCCTGTTTCCTGGAATATCTTGCAAAAAGATCTGAAGCTCTCGACCTTGACCTCTCTAAGTGGTTTCAAACATTTGCTAAGTTCCTGGGAAAAACCAATGCAGACTGGTCTGAATGACTATCGGCCAGTAGCCCTCACTCCAATAGTCGCTAAATGCTTCAAAAAACTGGTCATGATCCACATCAAAACAATCATCAACATCAACGATGACCCTCATCAGTATGCATACCACGAGAACCAATCAACAGAGGATGCCATCTTCTCTGTGGTCCACACTGCGCTCAACCACCTGGAGCAGAAAGACTCCTATGTCCGTATGCTCTTTGTGGACTTCACATCTGCCTTCAACACCATGATCCCCCAAACCCTGATGAACAAACTATTCACACTAGAACTAAGCCCCTCCATTTGCAACTGGGTACTAGACTTCTTAACAAACAAACCACAGTCAATGAGGATCCATAACTTCTCCTCCTCCACCATAACCCTCAGCACTGGCTCTCCTCAGGGATGTGTGTTGAGCCCCCTCCTGTTACTTTGCTCACGTATGATTGTGCAGCTACCCATCCAGGCTGTCACATTGTAAAGTTTGCAGATGATACAGCGGTGGTGGGATGTATCACAAATAATGATGAGTCCAGCTACAGGCAGGAGGTGGAACACCTGGAGAGCTGGTGCAGGAAGAACAACCTTCACATCAATGTGAAGAAGACAAAGAAGATGATTGTGGACTTCAGAAGGAACAAACACACCTACACCCCCCTGAACATAAGAGGATCTGCGGTGGAAGTTGTGTCCAGCTACAAGTACTTGGGTGTGCACCTGAATGACAACCTCAGCTGAGACAACAACACCACTAGCCTGATCAAGAAAGCTCATCAGAGACTCTACTTCCTCAGACGGCTGAGACGAACTGGTCTGGGAAGCTCAGTCCTCACCTCCTTCTACAGGTGTGCAGTGGAGAGCATCCTGTGCTCCAGCATCCACATGTGGCATGGAGGCTGCACAGCTGCAGAAAGAAAAGCTTTGCGGAGAGTGGTGAAGGCTGCACAGAAGTCTGTTGGAGTCAGTGTCCCCACCATCAAAGACAGCTACACCTCCAGATGCAGAAAGAGGGCCACCTGCATCATGAAGGACCCTGTTCACCCAGCACACACACTTTTTGCCCCGCTGCCCTCAGGAAGAAGGTTGAGGAGCATTAAGTGTAGAACCACTAGACTGAGGAACAGCTTCTATCCTGAAGCTGTTAGACTCATGAATCTCTAACCAGAATAATTAATTTGAAAAATTACATCATGTTGTTGCTGATCTGTTTCATGTTGCTGTGTTCATGCGTGCTCATCTGCTCACACAGACTCATGTTCGTGCTGCTGTTTGACGTAATGTTTTTATGCTATTAGGCTTATTGTGTTTTTAGTTGATTTTTAAGTTTGAATCTTTCTTCCTGTGCAGACAGAACAGGAAGGATCGTCTGCTCAGGAAGCGTTGGTCCCACATTAACTTGGATCTCATCTCACTGCTGGAGGACACTGAACCCAACCTTATCTCCCTGAAGGTGAGGCCCTTTGTCTTACTGATCCAATAAGTTCTGGTTGCTGTGCTCTTCACACATCTCTTATCTTGACTTTATTGAGTTACACTGGCCTCCATCTACTTCTTTAGATAGAAGAAGAGAGGAAGAAGGTGAAGTTTAAGATCCGCCGTGCACTCTATGATAAGAAGGTATATATCTGGACTCAACAAAGTCTTTTTCACTCACTGGGAACAGCGAACAGATTGAGCTTGATTTTCATCACTGCAATAATTTCAGATTGTGATTCTGAAGGAGCTGAAAAACTCAGATGGGAACTTTAACAAAACCCAGAGGATAGAGCTAAATGCGGTAAGACGCAGCCGACGCCTTGTCTCGACACACTTTGAGATCTCGTTCATATTTTTATGGCTCCTTTAATTTTTGTCCACAAACATGTCCTGTCTCGCCACCTTTCCCATCAGCTTCTGCAGATCGACTATTACAGCCTCACAAAGTTTTATGGCACGGTCAAGCTGGATGAAGGAGTGTTTGGAGTGTTTGAGTACGGAGAGCGGGGCTCTCTCAAGGTAAGTAGAGCACCTTCAGTTCAGGTCAGTCCTGAGGCTTCCTTGGTAACGATCCCAGTTAATAGCAAAGCACGTGATAAAGTAGTAGTAGTATCCTCCCCCACCCCATGTAGAAACACTCTTTGTCCTCTTTGTTTTTCCAGTATGTGCTTAATGAAAAGGTGTCTTACCCAGAGGAGACGTTCATGGACTGGGAGTTCAAAATATCCGTCATGTACGACATCGCCAAGGTGAGAGCTGGTCTCCTGAAGAACAACACAACTGAACAACTTAATTCAATTCAGTCTATACAGTAGGTCCATAATTGGCTAGGATTCCTGAGTCAAGGTTATACTTACAGGATGGTTATCAAACACAGACTGGGCTTTAAAAGGAAACAGCCAGTAAAAAATCTCTTGAGTCGGCCAAGAAATGGTGTCATTTCAGTCAGAAACACAAAAAAGGCTAATTCAAAACAGCAACTAATGGAGGTGTGTCAGTAATATGTAGGCTTCCAAACTTTAATTTTATAGATGTATGAATACAAACAAACTATCTCCTCAAAATAAAGGCCACCCATAACACATTTTATTGAGTCTTCAGCTCTCCGAGCAACATAACTAGTTTTAGCCTTCCTTGCCAGAGTTTCAGATGAAGATCATTTCCTGTTGTGAAACTTTGTTGACGAGTCAAATCTGCGTCGACAAAATCTTGGCAATAATGTCAGTGACAATCTCACACACTCTAGCCTTCAGAGTATGTGTTGAGGATGACTCTCATCTACAGCCGCATGATGCTCAATATCTGAAAAGTAGTTAGTTATGTTTTGTGCTTGCTAAAGTCAAACAGCTGTAGCAGCCATCTTGTATTGGACTGAATTCAAAAGTTGTAGCTTTCCATCCAATTAGTACTTTTAAAGAGTTTACAAAATAATAAAGGTATACATCTGTTCAGTGGTTCATGAGATATTTTGCTAACAGATAAATGCCTTTCAGCAGCATACTATAATTAATGATGCAAGTGAACAGAATATAAACAATGTATTTAATGGCATTCTTTTTTCTTTCATTTATCCTTTATTTTTTACAGATAGTCTCACTGAGCCAAGAGAACTCATTTTCAAGAGAGACCTGTTTAGGGAGCAGATGGGGGTTAAGGGCCTTGCTCATGAGCCCAGAGTGGGGCGAATGAGGGTCTCTGGGCTCATGAGGGTGGAGGCATGTGTGGGTGCTTCACCTACCCCACCCACATTTTTTGATGTTGTCGGTACCGGGGCTTGAACCGGCGATCTTCCGATCACAGGCCCACCTTCTCTAACCTCTGCACCACCACTCCCCACTCATGTTGAAATCGTCATTAAATTAACGCACCTGTTATTAGATGCAGCACGGTGGCGCAGTTGGTAGAGCTGCTGCCTCTCAGCGAGCAGGTTGCCCCGGTTCAAATCCCGGTCCGGGTACCTTTCTGGGTGGAGTTTGCATGTTCTCTCCGTGCATGTGTGGGTTTTCTCCCGGTACTCCGGTTTCTTCCCACAGACTAAAAACATGCATGTTAGTCTGATTGGTAACTAAATTGTCTCTAGGTGTGAGTGAGAGAGTGAATGGTTGTTTGTCTCATTTGTCTCTACGTGTCCCTGTGATGGACTGGAGACATGTCCAGGGTGTCCCTCGCCTCTCACACAGTGACAGCTGGACACGGAAACCAGTGACCCCCGCGACACAAAAATGAAGAAGAAGATAAAGATAATGGATGGGTGCTCCAATGTAGGTCTGATCTGTAATGAGATGGATTTACTTATTAAAGAACTGCACACACCTAAGTCATAAAGATGTATAAAATAGATTTATAACACATTTAAAGTGATGGAAAACCTTTTGTAGTATCCTCATCTGTCAGCAGATGTCAGGAAAACTACAGATACAGTTGGTTTCAAAATATTCAACTGCATAATCCTTCTATTTTGTTGCTTCACAACCTGTAGTTTGAATGGTAGGACATGTGCAAAATGTTCTGGATTGTTTCATACATTTAAAGTAGTGGGGGAGTCTTGTTTTAAATACTTCTAAAAAATATTAAACAAAAACAAATTTACTGACTTTCGTTGGTTTGAAACCCCAATCATGACCTCCAAGAGCCAATTAGTTCAATAAGATCCACTTGAGTGTGAGCCCAGTTTACATACACCAGTTCTGACTGCCCCCAAGATCAACACCTGTAAGTAGAGCAGTCTCCCACCAAGAAGGGGCATTATGAAGACCAAGGAGCTCTCCACACAGATCAAAGTTGTCAAGGAGTACAGGTCATGGATGATTTGTTTAAGAAATCCTAATCTCAGATGAGAGGATCTGTTCTTAAGCTGCACAGAGCTGCGCTTCAAGGAATAGTGGAAGGAAAAGCCTCTTCGTGAATAAAAATTTAAAGCAGGCCGATGAAATTAGCCAAATATTATATTGGAGATTTGTCAAATACGTGGAAGGAGGTAATGTGGTCAGATGAGACTAAACTCAAACATTTAGGCCACCAAAGACGTGTGAGACAAATCTACCACCTTCTAAAGGTAAGAACATTATTCCCACAGTGAAGCATGGTGGCGGTAGCATCATGCTGTGGGGATGGTTTTCATCCGCAGGGACTGAGGAATATTCCATGAAAGGTGGATGGAGCAAACTGTAGAAAAAATCTTGAGGGAAAACTGTGAGTCTTCCAGAGAGTTCAAACTGGGATGAAGGTCATCGTCCAGCAGGACTCTGTCCCTAAACACACTACTGAAGCAACACTCCCGTGGTTTGAGGAGAACCTGTTAAAGGTCCTGGAATAGTCTGGTCAAAGCCCAGACCTCAGTCCAACTGAGTCGCTCTGGTTCGATTTAAAGACTCTTGGACATAAGCAGAGCTGGAGCAGTTTGGTCATGAAGAAAGGACAAAAATGACACGGGGTCAAACTCCTGGAGTCACTGTTGTAACTGAGGCAGCTCCAAAGAGTGCTGACAGTGTGTGTGTGTGTGTGTGTTTGTTTATGTTACCTTGTAAGACCCATTTTTCCAACAAATACTGCACTGTAAGGACCAGCTGCTCCTTATGGGGCCCAAAGCCCGGGTCTCATAAGAAGAAACCAGTTGGTGGATTAGGTTTAGGACTAAGGTGTGGATTGAGGATGGGTTAGATTTTGTTTCAATTCAGTTTATTTAAATAGCACCAAGTCACAACAGAAGTCTTCTCAGGGCACTGAACAGAAACATTCATATATAAAAATAATAATTTGACATTATTTATCTGAGGAGCAGACTGCTTTGAATTTAACTCATCACAGACTCTCATCTTGAGCATGAAGGCGACAGTGGAAAGGAAAAACTCCCTCATGAGGAAAAAACCTTTAGCAGAACCAGACTCAGGACAAACGGTCATCTGCTTCAACCAGCTGGGTTTGAGAGGAACAGATACACAATGGCAGGTCAAGAATCACATGTTAAGATAGAAATAATATCAAATGAAAACTATTCAATTTTAACAATTAATTTAAGGCAATGGGGTCACTTTGTCCTCCAGTAGTCAAAGCTTAAAACAGCATAACAAGCTAATCCTAACTATAGGATTTATCAAAAAGGAAAGTCTTGAGTCCAGTCTTAAAACTGGACACTGTGTCAGCCTCACGGACAGAAACTGGAAGTTTGTTCCACAAGAGAGGAGCCTGAGAACTGAAAGATCTTCCTCCCATTCTGCTTTTGGAAACTCTAGGAACCACAAGTAAACCTGCAGTCTGAGAGCAAAGTGCTCTGTTAGGAAAATATGGAACAATAAAGAATGGGAGACTGCAACAAAGCCAAGATTCAACTTGTCTGCTGGCCTCCTTAGATAGAGAACTTTACTAATTGGCTTTTACAAAGTATGTATGTGAATGTTTCTGTAAAGTGCCCTGAGACAACTTTGTTGTGATTTGGCGCTATAAATAAACTGAATTGAATTGAATTCAATAAGAACTCGAATATAAGATGGAGCTAGGTTGTTGAGAGCTTTGTAGGTTAGAAGTAAGTTTTTGAATTCAATTCTGGATTTGACAGGAAGCCAATAGAGAGGAGCTAAGCTAGGTTTCAGGTTAGGTATGTACTGGTAATGGTTAGGTTCAGGGTTAGGCTATAGAAATGAATGAAAAATGAATGGAAGTCAATGTCCCAGTAAAGATAGAAAGACAAACGTGCGTGCGTGCGTGCATACATACAGGTTGTAAGTCAGCAAAGTAGAAAGAAATCTAAGGAGGAAACTGAACACTTTTCCCACCCTCTGTAGCTCCTTAGCCTTCTGAGATCTCCTCCTCCACTCTTCCTTTAGAAGCTACTGTCTGCTCCTGCCTTACCATACAACATGGCTCCTCTGTGCAGGGCATGTCCTACCTTCATGCCAGCGACATCCAAGTCCACGGTCGCCTCAAGTCCACCAACTGCGTGGTGGACAATCGCATGGTGGTGAAGATCACAGACTTTGGTTGTAATGCCTTCCTTAGCAGCAGCAAAGGTAAACCCAGTCCCAGTAGGCCTACTTGTAACACTGAAGCACCTTCTCCTCTTTGATTTGTCCTCTCTCCTCTCAGATTTGTGGACAGCGCCGGAGCACCTGAGGAACCAGGGCACTTCTCAGAAGGGAGATATCTATAGCTTTGCCATCATCTGTCAGGAGATTATTCTCAGAAAGTGCACCTTCTACAGCCAGTCCTGCTCCAGCCGATCAGGTATCCAACTCCTCTACACACAACAAAAAGGGATTTACCCTCCAATAGAAACATATTTTTTCACTTTTGATAAATGATCACTCGAGTGTTTCCCAACAGAAAAGCTGTCCAGAGTGATGACGTCCTACTTCAGGCCCGATCTTTACTTTGAGACGGCTTCAGAGAAAGAATTTGAGGTTATTAATAAATTGTGAGCAAACTTTCTGCACATTTGTGTCGATATTTCTTTGAAGCTTGACGTCTCAAACTTTCAGGTGTACATGATGATCAAAAGCTGCTGGGATGAGGATCCAGAAAAAAGACCCGACTTTAAAAAAGTGGAAAACTGCCTGGAGAAAAACATCAGGTACTCCTTCTGCCTTCGAATGCTGCTGCTTAAACACAAGCCCGAGGCTCAGGAAGAAGAATCTGTTACTGTCTGTGCAGCAAAATTCACAACCAGGAGAACGAGAGCTACATGGACAACATGATCCGAAGGCTGCAGATGTACTCCAGAAACCTGGAGCACCTGGTGGAGGAAAGAACCGTCCTCTACAAAGCAGAGAGGGACCGGGCCGACTGCCTCAACTTCATGCTGCTTCCTGGGTCTGTTCAGAGGATCATAGTGATCCTATTTCCACTTCTAAATTCTTCCGTACGTTTTTCAGCACGATTCTCGTCCCGCAGTTTTCAAGCTATTTCAACAAATCATAAATCAAAACATTCAGCTCTTTCAGGACAATCCTGGTATGCCTTTTGGTATTGGTGCAGCTTTAGCTTTTTGAAATATTTAGCCTTTTCGGACATTGTTCCTCATAGAAAATGAATTGAGCTCATTTTACATCCTTCAAATGTTTAGATTTACAGCAATCTATAGCTGGTTATGATATGGTTTCGCTTTGATGAACTCGAATTATAGTTTTGGCAAAAGTGTTTTACATTGGATGTCGTTCCTGACACAACCCTCACCATTTACTCAAACTTGGGATCGGCATAAGAGACTGCTTGTGCTCTCTAGTGGCTGGTTTTGAGTGAAAAACTGTTGTTTTTTTTAAAGTTTATATAAATTGCTATAAAATTGTTGACATTAGTTGATTTTCAGTTGACAGAGGTCACCATACTGACAGCTGTTAGCTTGACTCTCTTTGTGAGAGTTATTATCCAAACTGAGATAGTTGCAGGTAAGATACTGACAGCTGATAACTAACACACATAACCACACTTAAAAAAATCTGAACTACTCATTTTAAATGACAGCTGAAATGGTGCAGAATGGACTCAGGATGAGCTTAAGGCAGACATTTTGTTCTGTATATGATGCTATACCTTCCAAGAAGAGCAGCAAGCTCTATCTACAACAAGTAAGATATTTATTAAGACCTTCTCACTAAACCTCACTTCAAAAGATCTGAACAATCACTTTGAAATTTTTCACAAAAGGCCAAAAGAAAGTCGAATTCCTGGTGAAGAACAAGTAATTGAACTAACATGCTGTACAAATACAATAAAATGTATTTCATTCAGAAACAACTTGTCAAAATGGACTGCTTACACAGAAACAAGTGACACTTTAATTTTTGACAGAACCAGTCAGTGTCATTGCCGATCTTCTTCTGCGGTTGTGTCGACAGCCCGGTGGTGAAAAGCCTAAAGGAGAGCGGTGTGGTGGAGCCAGAGCTGTACGACGAGGTGACCATTTATTTCAGCGACATCGTGGGCTTCACCACTCTGTGCCAGTACAGCACACCCATGGAGGTCGTGGACATGCTGAACGACATCTACAAGGGCTTTGACAGCATCGTCGACCACCACGATGTGTACAAGGTAGAGACAAAGACGCACCAGTAAAATATAATGGATGCTTTTTTCTAAAGAGTTAGTGATCGTCAGGTGGAGACGATCGGCGACGCCTACATGGTTGCCTCTGGCCTGCCGAAGAGAAACGGGAACAGACATGCGGTGGACATTTGCCACATGGCTCTGGACATTTTAGCCTTCATGGGCACCTTCCAGCTCCGACATCTGCCAGGTATCCCCGTGTGGATTCGCATTGGTGTGCACTCAGGTAATAATAATGGAAGTCCACCTGTTTCAGTTCAGTGCTTGAAAGTTAGAATGAGGTGTTTGGCGTACGATGATGCAGTGCATTATGGGTAAACTTATCTAATTGGTCTTGTGAGTATAACCAACAACGTTCCAGATGTTCATTTAGATGCAGCTTTACAAACCTTATTCGTGCTCCCATGTTCATTTTAGAGAACAAAGGGACGTCCTGTCTCAGACTAAAGAGCAGGAAAGTGATTGCTGATGTCTTTCCATCTTGATGTTGTGTTGTCACAAACCTGTACACTCCAGAGCAGAAAACTGACCATACACCTCCAACAATGTTCAGTCAGGTCATCTGGATGGTTTCTTTATTTGCTGAGATGTTTTGTCCTTCATTCAAAGGACTTCTTCAATCTGAGGAGCCACCAAACAAACTGATTCCCACAAATACTCCATAGTGGAAAAAAACAGTTTGCTGGTGCTAAAATGGCCTCCGGGGGCCTGCTCCCCACAAAATTGTTGGATTTTTTTTTACCTGGATGATTGAGTATGAACTTTGATGTTTTGAATCACTTTGGCATGACTGTTGCAGAGGAGTTGATGGGGGAGAGGGTGGGCCCCGGAGGCCATCTTAGCACCAGCAAACTGTTTTTTTTTTCCATTATGGGGTGATCTGTTTGTTGAAATCAGTTTGTTTGGTGGCTCCTCAGATTGAAGAAGTCCTTTGGATGAAGGATGAAACATCTCAACAACAAAAAAAAAACATCCAGATGACCTGACAACATTGTTGGATTATTACCTGGATTATTGAGCATGAACGCTGGTGCCCATACACCTGTTTAATAGACGTGTTCTCGCTGATGACGATCAATCAATACATCTGATCAGCAGCACCAAGCTGATACCGAACCTCTTATATCTTTTAGAAGCAGCAAGATGAACTTGTTTTTTTCTACACACAAGTTTCCATTGCAGCTTTGTTTTTATTTAATAAATAAGAGAAAGAGTGACTCTGCTGTGTGTTTTAGTTCACTTGAGGTTAGATTTAAATAACCTTCTAATAAAGACCAGATCATTCCATGTTACTTTATTCCACTCATCCTTCCCACTTTGATCTATAGCTTTATAGATTACCAGTAAAGTGGATGTTGTGTGTAGGTCCTTGTGCAGCAGGTGTTGTGGGGATGAAGATGCCCAGATACTGTTTGTTTGGAGACACAGTCAACACAGCGTCTCGCATGGAGTCTACCGGACACCGTAAGCAGAAAACAGACCCAGCCTGTCCATCCAGTGAATGTGAAAACTGATTTAGATCGACGTTTCCTGCAGCTATTCTTTCTGTTCTCGTTAATCTTTCTGTAAATTGCTTCGAGATCACAGAAGCTACTAGTTTACTCAGTTAAATGAATTAATTCTGTCGTGTCCGTTATAACCTGCAGCGCTGCGGATACATGTCAGCGAGCCTACCATAAATATTCTGCAGAGGACAGACTGCAAGTTTGAGTACGAGGTCAGAGGAGAGACGTATCTGAAGGTTTGTTCAACTCAGTAAACAAACAAATAATTCTTAGATTTAAGCTCTTGAAACTGGATCCTAAATGAGTTTACGTATGGATGTTTTTAGGGTAAAGGCACTGAAACAACTTACTGGTTGACTGGAGAAACTGGAGAAGACTACGACCTCCCTGCTCCACCCACAACGTGAGCAAACGCACACAAGAAGCACAAACCCCCCTAGACATAAATGACCTTTGAACTCAAGGACTAGGCTTGTTGGCTGCATCGCACCAAATGATTCCATCTTTATCAAGAAACTTTCCACACCCTTATTCTATAAAAGTTTTCACAGCAGATGAGGGCAACATACGGCCCGAGGGCCAAAAGTGGCCCTTGGACAATCTCCATATGGCCCTCAAAATTCTTAATGGAAACTTTTAAATAAGTTAATCAAAACCTGCATTTTATCAACAACACTTAAAATCTAAATTAAACATCTTGGACAAATACATTGAACACCTTTAGAGTAAGATGAGCTAAAAAAAAAGATTTTAGGTTGTTGAGTTTCTAGAACTTTACTGAACCTGAAAAACTCGAAAAAGCAAACAGTTTTTCGTATATTTAAGCTAAGTTAAGATGAGATAGAACATTATTGATCCTGCAATAAATTGTTGAGCCAGAGTTTCAATACAAAGGAGAATACACAAGGAATCACACAAGATATATAAAAAAACAACAGTTACGGTTCAAAACATGTCATAAACATTAAAGTGTTTATTGTGGTGCAGGATTAATTTTATTGTCCACTGTGACAAATATATTGTCACAAGAGTCCACTTACAGAAAGTATGTCTTATATTCCTTAAGAGTATTGGAGAGATATTTTCATCAAGCATGCTAACTGTGCTACAAGAAAAAGGCAGAAAAAAAGTCTTCAGGATTATTTGTCTTATAGAAAATGTATTTTCAAATTTTTTTTACATGACATTTCAATTGCTTTAAAAATGTTGATTTGGCTCTCTGGAAAGAAAATGTTGCCCACCATCGTTTTACAGTATCATTGGCCACGACACTGATGACACCACATGGCGCTGTGCAAGTGTCAATACAACTCTCATTTCTTAGTGTTTCATCCAAGAAGAAAAAACATCTTGTAATATTTTCAGGTGGTCCCAAACTCCTTCTTTTCTGTCTAAAGATCTTTGGAAGCATATATATATACTGT